TTGAGTGGTAGCCCAGTAACATGTTTAGAGAGTAATAAAAGTCACACTTTAATCAGGCCATTCGTTCATGGAAACTGAGTAGTCAATGTGGACAACAATGGCATACTATTATTTTCAAGTGGAAGTTTAACTGCTTTACCTTTTTTTTAATCATACACCAATATATACTTGACAGATATATTTACACATTTATTTAGTGTACAAATAATATTATGTACATCAAATATCATTAGTCATAAGTACATAAAGGAAATGTTCTTGTTTCCTCAGTTAAATAAATAAATCAATTCCAAAGTAGATAAATACCTATAATTAACTTGTACATTTTTAAAATGTAATTAAAACGTACACTATTTTACATGGAATTTACACTATAGTGCATATTCTACACCTACATATTTGATGGTATGAATTCCTTATTCCCTAGGTATTCCTTATCAAAAATGTAGTAGAAAGTATACAACTTTTGTTAAAATTAACAGAATAAAGCAATACAGTAAAATACATAGATATAACATACCTAGTTAAACTAGGTTAGAACTAGTTAGGAATACTATAAATAATATTAACTGTCCTAACATTGTCAAGTGAATGTACATACTAAAAATATTAATTTAATGTCATTAATTATTTGTATACAAAATCAAATTGGTATTATTAAAGTTACCATTTTACAAAACAAAGTAATAATTAAAGATCATACAATTCTATCACCAAAAGATACCTTAGTACATATATTTTTTTTTATATTAATTTCTATAAGTTATTCTTATATGACACCTTAACACAGTTAATTTCAACAATTTTGATTAACTGTTAATTATACACAATTAATTTATAAATCATGCAACACTATTAATATAGGTAAGTACTTAATACCAATGTGTAGTATCTCAACACACAATTTACTAATCATTATTATTTTTGTTCAAAATATTTTATATTTTCTAATAATATCCCACTGATGACCGATTTGCAACTGGTACAAGTATTAATACAATAATACTTAGAAATAAGTTTCAAACTCTTAAAATGTAAAAGTAATCCTTCAAGTGGTAGGTTATATTGAATATATCTAGTTATTAAAAGGACATGATATGTTACCCTTATGTGTTATTTCAGTCCAATTAATAAGCAACATAGCAAAAATATTATAATACAGACTGAGTAAACCTTGTTTAATTTTAGTTTTAGAATAAAAGCACTTGCTATAAAACTAAAAGAAGACTAATATTTAGTAGGGCACCATACTGTGGTTAAAATAAAATAAACATTTAAAAAATTTACAGTAATTTTAAAATATTAAAACATTTCATAATAATGTACATCACATTTAAAATGATGGCAACAAGGTGTTCTCCAGAATATTATCCACTTTTAGTTTTATAATTAGGTGCTTTAAAACTAAAACTAAATTAATTATAATCAGTCTGAATAAACATGTTTTTGTTATATTCTTTAGTTGGTCAGAGCTAGTAATTAAAGGTCTCACATTATTTTAACTTAATCAATACATATATGATATAATTGAACAATGAACAAATGTTTATTTCTATAGAATATTTAAAGTTTTGATAAATAAACAAAAATGGATATTTATTGTAGTTCATGAATTTAAACCCCCTCATCAAATTAGTTTTCTGTAAAAAAAATTAGGTTAAAGAAAAGAAAATATCTAGGCTATATTTAAATAATTAAGATATAGGTGCTAATTTTGGTTTTAAATTTGTTTTGGGAATTTTAAAATTTAAACAAAAAATGATCAATTAATTATCCTATTTAATGTTCAGTATTAAATATACCTACCTATACAATACATCATATTTTATTTTAATGTGAAATGTTTAATCAATATTTGTATTAATAATACTTGTAATTATGTATTTATGTTTACCTACAAGAGTGAATTTAACTTTTAAGAAATAAATATTAAATTCAAACAAATGAACTGGAAAAACATATATTTTATTGTTTTGGATTTGTATGTCAAAATAAATAAAAAATCATTTTATAATTATTATTTCAGTTGGTAATTTGTCAATGTTGAACCATTATGATAATATGATTTAATGATATTAATACAATTCTTATATTTTCTCATTCAGCTTCCTGTTTGTTTTTTTTTTTTTT